GGTAAAGGATCAATTTGAACAAAATTTACTGATGAATATATTAAAAAGCGGTCTGTGCTTCATTTCTTAGTTGTAATTCAGTGACAGAGCAGAGCGTGCGGAATTTTTTGGGGGGAACTAAGCTTGTTGTGAACGGAGCCCTTTCTCTGAAAATTGTTCTGTATCGGAAGGGAATCGAACCACTCCCCTTCACGTTCGGACGTAATATGTTAGCACTACACCACCGGTCCCTGTCTTCAGGTTTAGTCTGGAAACATCTGCTGCGTATCTGCCTTACAAAGCAAGGTACACTTTTCCTTTTTTTTATGGCGGCTTATTGGCCAGCTTTTCGCGAGTTTTCACAATTGTGATTATAATTCTGCTTGCGTCTAACAAATATCTTAGCTTCTAATATCAAATAAATATTAACACAAACAAGACGAAAAACTAGGCATGTTAATGTACCAGTGAGTCATGTGTGGCAGTGTGAATGTATAGAGAGTTCGGAACTAATACATGTGAAGAAGCTGATAGTGCTAACGCGTGAGCAAAATGTATTTCAATGCCAATACGTAGGGATATCCTGCACTTCAAAAGCTGCTTACCTCACTTTAGCTGATAATGACATGACAGGAAAAAAATAGCCATCAATATTGAAATTTTTGAATAATCCTGAGGTTGGTTTACCGTTGACAGTGAAATGAATTTGCGGAATATTAAGATCCAATGAGCAACCAACGATGTCGCCCTTTTCCAGCTTCCGATCCCAAACAACTCGCTTTTTACCCGCTAAAAACAACGTCTCTGTGAATTTTTTTTCCCAACAGCAAAGAGCTCGAAATTTAAAAAAAAATTAATTAGCTGGTATAATTCATGCTTTCCAAAAATTACTACAGAAATGTCGCGAAGTGGAAGTGGTAAAGTAGTAGGTGTTACAAGTCTGGCAGCTCCAAGATTGCTGCGAAGACACTGTGCCCAAATTCATCCGGCTAAATTTGGCAGTATCACAAACCAATGTCAGTTTGACCAGTGAAAAGTACTTTAATAATTTGTATGTTCATTTCTGTTCAGCAAAACGGACAGGCATATAAATGTCTTGGTTTTGCATTTCAAACCAGCAATGTACAAAAACAGAGAAAAACAAACCGCAGTAGATGCACCGACCATCGAAGCCATACGAATAGAAATCTTCACCGACACCATTACAGCCCCATCTAAATGTAACATTTATTCAAATAACTGTTAAGTTTTCGTACTCTGATCAGCTGCTATTTCATAGCCCTGTTTGACACGATAACAGGTTTTAATGCCTTTTTTGCAGCTTTGCAATGCGGAAAACGCACATTGACGAGAAGCTGTCTGTGTGAGTGTGTCTGTGTGTGCGCAGAGTCCCTGTACCGATTTTTCATCTCGAGACCGACAAAAGCTACAGGGCTGAAACTTCCATGCACGTACAGGTTCCTATCTTCAAAATGGGCGGTCTCACCCGAGTGGTACT